ATTTAGCACAACTTTTTGGAATTTTGGGTCCTCAATGCTCTTTAACTTTGTACTTGTTTTGGCTTTATAACTATTTTGATCTTAGCGTCACCGATGAGTCTTATGTAGACGAAACGCGCGTCTGGCGTTTTAAATTACAATCCTGGTACCTTTGATAACTATTTACACCACTGGGTCGATGCCGCTGCTGGTGGACGTTTCGTCCCCGAGGGTTTTACCAGCCCTTTTATCAGCACTTCGGTGTTGACATGAATATCAATTATATGGTCATTTTTATAAATGTCCTGTTACAAAACTTTGAATTATTCGGAAAACTAAGAATTTTCTTATCCCCGGAATAGATGACCTTAGCCGTATCTGGCACAACTTTTTGGAAATTTGGGTCCTCAATGCTCTTCAAATTTGAACTTTTTTGGCTTTATAACTATTTTGATCTGAGCGTCACCGATGAGTCTTATGTAGATGAAACGTGCGTCTAGCGTATTAAATTATAATCCTGGTACGTACCTTTGAAAACTATTTACACCACTGGGTCGATGCCGCTGCTGGTGGACGTTTCGTCCCCGAGGGTATCACCAGCCCAGTAGTCAGCACTTCGGTGTTGACATGAATATCAATTATATGGTCATTTTTATAAATTTCCTGTTACAAAACTTTGAATTTTTCGGAAAACTAAGATTTTTTTCATCCCAGGAATAGATTACTTTAGCCGTATTTGGCACAACTTTTTGGAATTTTGGGTCCTCAATGCTCTTCAACTTTGTATTTGTTTGGCTTTATAACTATTTTGATCTGAGCGTCACCGATAAGTCTTATGTAGACGAAACGTGCGTCTAGCGTTTTAAATTATAATCCTGGTACCTTTGATAACTATTTACACCACTGGGTCGATGCCGCTGCTGGTGGACGTTTCGTCCCCGAGGGTATCACCAGCCCAGTAGTCAGCACTTCGGTGTTGACATGAATATCAATTATATGGTCATTTTTATAAATTTCCTGTTACAAAACTTTGAATTATTCGGAAAACTAAGGATTTTTTTATCCCAGGAATATATTACCTTAGCCGTATTTGGCACAACTTTTTGGAATTTTGGGTCCTCAATGCACTTCAACTTTGTACTTGTTTGGCTTTATAACTATTTTGATCTGAGCGTCACCGATGGGTCTTATGTAGACGAAACGTGCGTCTAGCGTATTAAATTATAATCCTGGTACGTACCTTTGATAACTATTTACACCACTGGGTCGATGCCGCTGCTGGTGGACGTTTCGTCCCCGAGGGTATCACCAGCCCATTAGTCAGCACTTCGGTGTTGACATGAATATCAATTATATGGTCATTTTTATAAATTTCCTGTTACAAAACTTTGAATTTTTCGGAAAACTAAGATTTTTTTTATCCCAGGAATATATCACCTTAGCCGTATTTGGCACAACTTTTTGGAATTTTGGGTCCTCAATGCACTTCAACTTTGTACTTGTTTGGCTTTATAACTATTTTGATCTGAGCGTCACCGATGGGTCTTATGTAGACGAAACGTGCGTCTAGCGTATTAAATTATAATCCTGGTACGTACCTTTGATAACTATTTACACCACTGGGTCGATGCCGCTGCTGGTGGACGTTTCGTCCCCGAGGGTATCACCAGCCCAGTAGTCAGCACTTCGGTGTTGACATGAATATCAATTATATGGTCATTTTTATAAATTTCCTGTTACAAAACTTTGAATTATTCGGAAAACTAAGGATTTTTTTATCCCAGGAATATATTACCTTAGCCGTATTTGGCACAACTTTTTGGAATTTTGGGTCCTCAATGCACTTCAACTTTGTACTTGTTTGGCTTTATAACTATTTTGATCTGAGCGTCACCGATGGGTCTTATGTAGACGAAACGTGCGTCTAGCGTATTAAATTATAATCCTGGTACGTACCTTTGATAACTATTTACACCACTGGGTCGATGCCGCTGCTGGTGGACGTTTCGTCCCCGAGGGTATCACCAGCCCATTAGTCAGCACTTCGGTGTTGACATGAATATCAATTATATGGTCATTTTTATAAATTTCCTGTTACAAAACTTTGAATTTTTCGGAAAACTAAGATTTTTTTTATCCCAGGAATATATCACCTTAGCCGTATTTGGCACAACTTTTTGGAATTTTGGGTCCTCAATGCTCTTCAACTTTGTATTTGTTTGGCTTTATAACTATTATGATCTGAGCGTCACCGATGAGTCTTATGTAGACGAAACGTGCGTCTAGCGTTTTAAATTAAAATCCTTGTACCTTTGATAACTATTTACACCACTGGGTCGATGCCGCTGCTGGTGAACGTTCCGTACCCGAGGGTATCACCAGCCCAGTAGTCAGCACTTCGGTGTTGACATGAATATCAATTATAAGGTCATTTTTATAAAGTTCCTGTTACAAAACTTTGAATTATTCGGAAAACTAAGGATTTTTTTATCCCAGGAATAGATTACCTTAGCCGTATTTGGCACATGTTTTCGGAATTTTGGGTCTTGAATGCTCTTCAACTTTGTACTTGTTTGAATTTAAAATTATTTTGATCTTAGAGTCACCGATGAGTCGTATGTATACGAAACGCGCGTCTGGCGTATTAAATTATAATCCTGGTACGTACCTTTGATAACTATTTACACCACTGGGTCGTTGCCGCTGCTGGTGGACGTTTCGTCCCCGAGGGTATCACCAGCCCAGTAGTCAGCACTTCGGTGTTGACATGAATATCAATTATATGGTCATTTTTATAAATTTCCTGTTACAAAACTTTGAATTATTCGGAAAACTAAGAATTTTTTCATCCCAGGAATAGATTACTTTAGCCGTATTTGGCACAACTTTTTGGAATTTTGGGTCCTCAATGCTCTTCAACTTTGTATTTGTTTGGCTTTATAACTATTTTGATCTGAGCGTCACCGATAAGTCTTATGTAGACGAAACGTGCGTCTAGCGTTTTAAATTATAATCCTGGTACCTTTGATACTTATTTACACCACTGGGTCGATGCCGCTGCTGGTGGACGTTTCGTCCCCGAGGGTATCACCAGCCCAGTAGTCAGCACTTCGGTGTTGACATGAATATCAATTATATGGTCATTTTTATAAATTTCCTGTTACAAAACTTTGAATTATTCGGAAAACTAAGGATTTTTTTATCCCAGGAATATATTACCTTAGCCGTATTTGGCACAACTTTTTGGAATTTCGGGTCCTCAATGCACTTCAACTTTGTACTTGTTTGGCTTTATAGCTATTTTGATCTGAGCGTCACCGATGGGTCTTATGTAGACGAAACGTGCGTCTAGCGTATTAAATTATAATCCTGGTACGTACCTTTGATAACTATTTACACCACTGGGTCGATGCCGCTGCTGGTGGACGTTTCGTCCCCGAGGGTATCACCAGCCCATTAGTCAGCACTTTGGTGTTGACATGAATATCAATTATATGGTCATTTTTATAAATTTCCTGTTACAAAACTTTGAATTATTCGGAAAACTAAGATTTTTTTTATCCCAGGAATATATCACCTTAGCCGTATTTGGCACAACTTTTTGGAATTTTGGGTCCTCAATGCTCTTCAACTTTGTATTTGTTTGGCTTTATAACTATTTTGATCTGAGCGTCACCGATGAGTCTTATGTAGACGAAACGTGCGTCTAGCGTTTTAAATTATAATCCTGGTACCTTTGATAACTATTTACACCACTGGGTCGATGCCGCTGCTGGTGGACGTTTCGTCCCCGAGGGTATCACCAGCCCAGTAGTCAGCACTTCGGTGTTGACATGAATATCAATTATATGGTCATTTTTATAAATTTCTTGTTACAGAACTTTGAATTTTTCGGAAAACTTAGGATTTTTTTATCCCAGGAATAGATTACCTTAGCCGTATTTGACACAACGTTTTGGAATTTTGGGTTCTCAATACTCTTCAACTTTGTACTTGTTTGGCTTTATAACTATTTTGATCTGAGCGTCACCGATGAGTCTTATGTAGGCGAAACGTGCGTCTAGCGTATTAAATTATAATCCTGGTACGTACCTTTGATAACTATTTACACCACTGGGTCGATGCCGCTGCTGGTGGACGTTTCGTCCCCGAGGGTATCACCAGCCCAGTAGTCAGCACTTCGGTGTTGACATGAATATCAATTATATGGTCATTTTTATAAATTTCCTGTTACAAAACTTTGAATTATTCGGAAAACTAAGGATTTCCTTATCCCAGGAATAGATTACCTTAGCCATATTTGGCACATGTTTTTGGAATTTTGGGTCTTGAATGCTCATCAACTTTGTACTTGTTTGGCTTTATAATTATTTTGATCTTAAGAGTCACCTATGAGTATTATGTAGACGAAACGTGCGTCCGGCTTATTAAATTATAATCATGGTACCTTTGATAACTATTTACACCACTCGGTCGATGCCGCTGCTGGTGGACGTTTCGTCCCCGAGGGAATCACCAGCCCATTAGTCAGCACTTCGGTGTTGACATGAATATTAATTATATGGTCATTTTTATAAATTTCCTGTTACAAACTTTGAATTTTTCGGATAACTAAGGATTTTTTTATCCCAGGAATAGATTACCGTAGCCGTAGTTGGCACAACTTTTTGGAATTTTGGGTCCTCAATGCTCTTCAACTTTGTACTTGTTTGGCTTTATAACTATTTTGATCTGAGCGTCACTGATGAGTCTTATGTAGACGAATCGCGCGTCTGGCGTATTAAATTATAATCCTGGTACCTTTGATAACTATTTGAGTTAGATTTTCAAAACGTTGACATTCACTCGTTTAAAAAGCAAGATGTAATTCATCAAAATTAACAATAAACAAAAACCACAGGTTTGGTTGAAACTAAATTTTGAAATTATTGGACGTTTAAGATAGATATGTATTGCTTATGTATCAGAAAGATACTCGTGTGCTTTGACAAGTGTGAAAACCTTGCAAAATATTTTCAGTATTTTGAGAAAACGAATTTATTTGATTGTGTAATTTCATTCAACTACAAGGAGTAGTATATGACATTTGGAACTTCTTTCTGAATGCATGTGTGAACCTGTTTCAGTTTCTTTTTCTTCCTGTTCAATAACCATTAAACTTATTAGAACGAGAACCGCTATTTCTTCTTCCTCCACCATTTCCATTACCAGTAAACTTATTAGAACGAGAACCGCTGTTTCTTCTTCCTCCACCACTACCATTACCAGTAAACTTATTAGAACGAGAACCGCTGTTTCTTCTTCCTCCACCACTACCATTACCAGTAAACTTATTAGAACGATAATCGCTATTTCTTCGTCCTGCACCACCACCGCCGCCTTTCTCCTCACTATCACAATTATTACCACACCATTTAGGGGCTGCAGATGTCATTTGTAGTATGGCAGTCAAAATGAGAAAGAGAAAGATCAATTTCAATTTCTTCATTTTGAAACCTGTTAATATAAATAAAAATGTAACACTTTGGATAAATATGAATAAAATGATAAAATTTACTCATAAAAAACTGCTGTTGTAACTACAATAGTTCATCTGTGGACGAACCGTCATCTAAAAAGATTTGTTGACTTTGATTGTTGCTATTTGTTCAACTGTTCAAATACCTTACTAGTCAACACTCTATAGCCATTTACCATGCTAACATTTTATAAAAGAAGTACAATAGCTTAAGTTTCTCTAAATTACACCATGGTTATAAAATTAAAAGGTCGTGATACAAATAAAACCACACATTTGCATTTTCTAAACATGTAAACCGAAACGTTTATTGTTTGGCTATTATTATTTAGATGGAAAATGATGTTTCAAAAATGTCAATCTCTGCTATATAAAGATAACATAAAAGCTATAGAAACACATAGAATATTGACTTCTTTACAAACACCATTTTGCCAAGTGAAACTGATGCCCGGACTTTTTCCCCAAAACTATCCTTTACAACACACTGTCACGGGACTTTCGATATGAAAATATTGTCCGTGTTATTGTAACGGTTTCATTCCTGATTAAGAAAATAAATAGAGCGTTGCATGTATGATTACAATGGCATTAATAACGTCTTTCCACTTTTCCGTGGAAAGACCTATTGCTTTTGTTCTGATTATTTTCTTTTCCCGCCACATTTTGTTCTTGCGGTGTTAATAGTGGTTTCGCAAGATGTCGCTTAGATTTTTAGCATATGATATCGAACATTTATTGCGCGTTTGAGACTGACCCTGTTTAACTGAATATTTTCTTTGTAAGAGTTATCTCCCCAAACAATTCAGTATAAAGTAACCTTTCAGATGATACCGGATATGAATTTTTTTTAAACCGGAAGTGGCAATTTATCTCTCGTATTTCCAGCAAAAGTATGAAAAAAACATATTTTTTTTGGAATCTGTGTGACTAAAGCTATCATATGAGACCAGAAATGACATTTGCTCAACCGGAAGTAGAAAATTATCTCCCTCATTTCAGACAAAATTAAATTGAATCCATATATTTTTGAATCAGTATGAAGAAATCTGTAATTAGATACCAATAGTTACTTTGCGTAAACATCAGGTAGCTTCTTATAAATTATTTAGAAATTTAATGTGGAAAGACCTTCAATTGTTCTCTGAAGAATTGGTTTTTAGTTAATATATATGTTCGTAAATATTCTTTTGAAATTGCCTCACTGTCCTGTTTCTTAATTACATAGTCGATTTTGTTAGTATCTTTTCCCGAACTTTTTTGGTTTATCATCGTATATAATGATTTTTCTTACCTTTAAATCTAGTTCTAGGGAACAATTTGATATAATAATAATTGCATCTATGCTTTTATAAGGTTTATCTTAGTCATTAATCAAAGCAGTTAAATTTGAAACAAATGAGTTAACCTAGTTACACTAAATATGCAAGCATAGTTCAACGTCGTGTTCAGTAAAAGGACAACTATATCATGAATGTGTCACAAAAGAGAAAGTGTTTTACCTTTTTATGTCCTTGGGAAGACTTAAATGATATTATGCAGTGCTTTTATCTGACTTTCTTTTGGTTATTTTCTAAACTTTCTTTACGATTTTGTCTCATAAACATCAAATGTGCAATCTTTTTACATGTTCTTAATAAAAGAAAAATCATATTTTGGTAATAACACAACTTTTTGTTATCACACTGGTTTTAGGTGAGGTTCGTGTTGCTCAGTTTATAGTTTTCTATGTTTTGTTTTGTAAACTGTTGTTTGCCTTTTGTTTTTGTTTTTTTTACATGGCTTTATCAGTTTATTTTCGACTTATGAGTTTAATTGTCCCTTTGGTATCTTTCGCCTCCAGGTTGATTTTTTCTTCCACATCATAGGATGGAGCTTTCAGTGACTTCAAGCTTTGAATGCCTTTGGCTTGAATGCTTTTTGTTCACCTAGTTGTGATGATTTAATCGTCAGAAATACTTATGTTTTTTAACTTATATTATCCAATAAAAACAATTCTGAATGTGTTGTCTTTTTTGTGCCTATATCAATCCGCTGATAGAAAAAAGTTTGATTACTCTCAACACTAATACTTTTATCACATATATTTACTATATTTTAAACACTTCGTTGGCAAGTTGCCTATTTTCATTACAGTATTGCTCCTTTTGTAAAATTAATATCAGAGCTTAGATAATCTATAGAATATAGTAAGAATGCATTATTTACCTTAACATAACTATGTAGAGACTAAAAATCAGAAACTCTTTGTACCTACCATAAGATATAAACTAATAGACTAAATTATTAACACGTCTTAAAGATCTAATAAGGCAGCAAACAATGGTGTTGAGAGTTTTCTATCAGTGGATTGATAAAGGCACAAAAGAGAAAACACATTCGGAGTTTTTTTTATTAAACAATATAAGATGAGAAAAAACATAAGTACTACTGCCGATTAAATCATCGCAACTTGATGAACAAAAAAAATTCAAGCCAAAAGCGTGCAAAGCTTGAAGCCACTGAAACCTCCATCCTATAATGTTGAAGAAAAACCTTTTCTACATTCTAATACATAAATATCTAAGTTTGAATAAAATTCATCAACCTTGAGAACAGTACAGAATAGCATAAAAGAGAGGCGAAAGATACCAAAGGGACAATTAAACTCATAAGTCGAAAATAAACGCCACAAAACCAGGTTCAACCCACCGTTTGTTTCTTAAAATGTCCTGTACCAAGTCAGGAAAATGGCCATTGTTATATTATTGTTCGTTTCTGTGTGTGTTACATTTTAATGTTGTGTTTTTTTGTTGTGTCGTTGTTATCCTCTTTTATTTGATGCGTTTCCCTCAGTTTTAGGTTGTAACCCGGATTTGTTTTTATCTCTATCGATTTATGAGTTACGAACAGTGGTATACTACTGTTGCCTTTATTTAGAAAATAACAAAATGTAAGTCAGAAAAAAAGCATTGCATAATATCCTTAAAGTCTTCCCAAGGACATAAAAAGGTAAAACACTTTCTCTTTTGTGACACATACATGATATAGTTGTTCTTTTCCTAAACACGATTTTGAACTATGCATGCATATTAAGTGTAACAAGGTTAACTCATTTGTTTCTTAACACTGTGAAAAATATAAATTTTCCTGCTTTGATTAATGACTTAGATGAATCTTATAAAATCATAGATGCAATTATTATTATATCAATTTGTTCCCTAGAACAAGATTTTACGGTAAGAAAAATCATCATACATGTACACGATGCAAACCCGGAAAAGTTTCGGAAAAGATACTAATAAAATCGACTATGTAATTAGAAATCAGGACAGTGAGGCAATTTCAAAAGAATATTTACGAACATATACATTAGTTAATGCCATTGTAACCATAGATGCAACCAAACTCCCGGCAGTTCCAGCTCCGATCCGTAAACTACTCTACACTAATCACTGCCTTCGAATTTTTTCGAAACCCGATCTTCAAGCTGTGTGACCCGGATTGACCTTTCGTTGCTACTGAAGCGAATATGGCTGAACATTGGTGAATGAGGATATTTTTTTACCAACTTTACCAGTTTATATGGACAAAAACAATTATTGTTAGTAAAAAGCACCCAATCCAAATAATATCACAAAATGAAAAGTTTTTGAAATTTCTGTATATCCCAATTCTGGCTTAAACTCAATCGACTTTACAAAACAATTCTCGTCACTTGAGAAACATAATATCATATCAGTTTGACGTCTGCGCGTATGTGCAATTGAAAGAATATTTATGGTTTTAGCTGTTGATAACAATTATTCCCTTTATTGTACTGACACCCCCAATCATCAGCAAATAAATAAAAGTCGTTTGCAGACCACTCACAGTCTTCACGACTTACCTCAAGCTCGACGTCAAAAGGGGTTCTTCAACGTATGAATAATATCAGATACATGTATATATAGAAAAAAATGTTGGTTGCCCGAGAAGCGGCTCCATATATGGGATTAAAGATATTTCATAACAGACAAAATTGGACTCCAGGGATAAATTTTGGATTTTTTTTAAGGGGAGGGGGTCCAAATAATTTCTAATTGACACAAGGCCACAAGCAGGTTATTTTATCCAACTTGAATTAGGGTTTCCAACCAATATCATTAAGACTTAAAACTCACTTCAGGTATAATTTCATGGATTAAACAAACAAAACAATCATTATTATAACTTGAAAAGTAAATATCAAGGATTTGTATACTAGTAGTATCTTACTATACAAATCCTTGTAAATATATTGTATACTTCATTGTGAAAACAAATACAACACACATGTACTAAACATGCTAAAGTTGTTATGCATTTTGCTTTTATTATACATATATTATTTTACAATGGTCTGAATGAAAGCATTTTCATATCTGTATTCCTATTTTTTTTTTCAAGAATATATTTTTGTTCTTCATATTTTTACCCATTATCATCCAGTAAATTTATAGTCATATGATAATAAAGTGTTCCCCTATAATCTTTATGTTTTTTGTCCATTATTCTTTAATCTATTAACCACATTAAGAACCTCATTGATATACTCTTAATGGACCCTTTATAAGTTTCTATTTTAACATACCAGTTCTGGATAATAGAAAAGAGCTGAAATCAATATCTAAATATTCATGTATATAAGTCCCAGTTACATTTTATATTTTGTTCTGCCCTGAACCAAAACTCTCAGTAAGAACAAAAAAAAAAAAGAACAATACACCACTTTTTTTTTTTTTATCATATACTCAATTTTATGTCAATGTAGAATGTGTTTTGAAATCATAGTATAATGTTTGTTTATATAAATATGAATGCCATGCTAGACATCAAGGACCTTTTATATTTGTTATACCAGAGATGTATAATTTATAAACCCATCTATATACATCTATTATTATACTGATAAGGTATTGCTAAAATAACTAGAGCCTATTTCACTCGCCTGATTCTACTTTATTTTTGGAATCATGAAAAGTATATTAAAATCATAACAGATACCCTAATAATGACTGAGGCCAAATTAGGTTAATATTGGCCGGTAATTTAATCAAAAGCAGAAGACTTTAGTGAAGTTAACAGAAATTACAAATAAATTCATTGAAATTGTAGAAAATGACTTTTTAAGGACAATAACTCCAACAAGATGTCAATTGACAATTTTGCTCATGTTGACTTATGTGTAGATCTTCTTTTCTTGATATTTTTGCAGTTTACAGTATATCTCAATCTATAAAGATACAAGTATGAAGGTCTTCATCAGCACCTCATAAGGAACATTTATTCCATGTTTGGTTTCATTCCTTTGAGTGCTCCTCTAGAAGAAGCATTGGTATGTATTTCCCATAGGGTCCTATGTCAAACGAAGTCCCCCCGCTGGTGGCAATCTTGGATGATTCATCACCTACAAAGTTACAACACTTGATCAGCACCTCATAAGGAACATTCATGCCATGTTTGGTTTCATTCTATTCAGTGGTTCTCTAAAAGAAGACATTTTTGTGTATTGTCCATAGGGTCCTATGTCAAACGAAGTCCCCCCGCTGGGGGCCATCTTGAATGGTGCATCGCCTACAAAGTTACAACACTTGGTCTGCACCTCAAACGGAACATTCATGCGATGTTTTATTTCATTCCATTTAGTGGTTCTCTAAAAGAAAACATTTGTAAGTATTTCCCATAGGGTCCTATGTTAAATTAAGTCCCTCTCTGGCAGCCATCTTGGATGATGGTTCGGCTTCAAAGTAACAACACTTGGTCAGCAGCTCATAAAGAACAATCATGCCATGTTTGGTTACACTCCATTCTGTGGTTTTCTAAAAGAAGAGATTTGTATGTATTGTCGGTAGGGTCCTATGTTAACCGATTGATCGCCTACAAAGTTACAATACTTAATCAGCACCTCATAAGGAACATTCGTGCCATGTTTTATTTCATTCCATTCAGTTCACCTCTAGAAGAAGCATTTTTATGTATTTCCCATGGGTCTTATGTTAAACTAAGTCCCCTGCTGGCTTCCATCTTGGATGATGGTTCGGCTACAATGTAACAACACTTGGTCAGCAACATTCATGCTATGTTTGGTTTAATTCTATTCAGTGGTTCTCTAAAAGAAAACATTTGTAGGTATTTCCAATAGGGTCCTATATTAATTTTACCCTCCTGCTGGCAGCCATCTTGGGTGACAAATCGGCTACAAAGTAACAACACTTGGCCTGCACCTCAAAAGAAACATTTATACCATGTTTGGTTTTAATCATAATAAGCAGTTTTCTAGAAGTAGACATTTGAATATATTTTCCTTAGGGTCCTTTGTTAAACTAAGTCACACATCTTAGTTGATGAACTGCTACAAAGT